TCCCTACAAAAATCATTTATCATGGACGGAAAATGAAGGCTGTAAAATTAAGTTAACTACCAAAAAACTAATTGAAGGCTGTAATTATACCAAGGCTTCTTTTAAAACAAAATCGTTTTGTGATTAAAATAAATAAATAAATCTAAAATAAATCGGCTTCACGTATTAATATGTTTCGGGCAATGAGCAATCCTGCCCAAATCCCTAGATTCATGAATTTTTGAAACAAGTCGACTCCTCGATATCAAAACTCGGGCAGCGGGAAGACTGACCGAAGTACCCCTGAGCACTCGAGTGAGAGAATATAAATCCTTGATTTCTTTCGAATGGTTAACCCTCTCTCCCTCCCTCGGCCCCCTCCTCCAGTCTCTCTAGGGTTTACATTTGGGCTTTTACACCCTCTTAACACCGAGCCAGCTAGTATTTTCTTTCCAGTGGCCTGGTTTCTCAACATAGAGTCCTCGGTGTTACATAGAGTACAAGGTAAGTGTTTTTCTTTCCATTAACGATAGTTTGAATAAGTATATATAGATCATTTTCTAATACGAAGCAGTACCTGCTTTGGGTTTGTTTCTTCATTAAAACTAGGTTTTGTGAAATGATCTCTAGATGGTATCTTGTTGAAGAAAAACTCCATTTGGGTTTTGAAAGATTGAGCAAGGCAGTGATCTCCATATCTAGTGGGGTTCTTATGTTTAGAAGTAGCTAGCACAGTTGTAGTGATCTTGAAAAAGCTGTTTGAAAAGAGTTAACGGTAGAAGGATTTTTAGTCTGTTCTTGCCAGTTTTAAGTACTACCTGTTTCTTCTGTACTTCAACTCTATATCCCTCGCAGTTGTAATTTGCCACACACATCTAGATACCTGATACTCCTTGCTCTCGAATATGGCTCCAAATGGTAGAAAAAGAACAGGAGCAAAAACAACAAGAAGAACCCAGTATAAGAAGCGGGTTATGAAGCCCAAGAGCATTAAAGAAGCTTCAATAATTGAGGTTTTGCCTTCTAACTCTTCCACCACCACCACCACAAGCTGCAATGGTTGTTCAAAGATTGATGGCTTAGATTTTGAGGGTGTTGATATCTCTGCAAGTGCATGCTCTACTCCAAAAGCTGAGAGGTTTCGGATACCAGAGATTCAAACATGTCCACCTGCACCGAGGAAGGAAAGGATAATATCAAATTGCTCTTTGCAAAGGAGACCGATTGCTTTCTTTGCTCCTCCCGATTTGGAGCTCTTCTTCTTCTATGCAATTCACGATGTATCAGTTTGAATGTTTGTTCATAGTATATGATCAAGATCATTTCAATAGTCTTAAGAGGTGATCCTTAATATTTATTACTTTCATGTAGTCTTAGCTAGTGCCTTTTAAATTTTATGGTTGAAGTATAGTGTGATAGTTTGAGATTTTTGATTGAGTGCTCTCAGGAGGCAGTTGTTAATTAGCTTTAGCCTTTTTATTCTGTTTGCTTGCTAATTTTAGCCTGGGTTTTCAATTTGCAGGGTACACTAATATACTAAATTTAGCTGGGGCTGTCCAACTAAATTTAGCCTTACGCATGCTGTTCCTTGAGTTTTTATATCTTTTTTAGGTGTATTGCTGACTTTTGGAGTTTGGAGAGTGCAAATCAATGGCTTGAATTAAGGTTCCTGAGTGTGAAATTATCAGTTTTTGTGTTTGGTCAACCTCTGAATGTAAAAGCACAAGTGACTCCTGCTTTTATGTTCAAATTAAGTCCCTCCCTGATCCACTCTACTTTTCCTCACGTTATTATTGCTAAGTGATCACTGTTAACAGACTAATGGGTCATAAATCAATCAACTGGTTGTCCAAACTACATGAAAAGAAGTCCATTCCACCACTTCAGTTGAATATTATGGTTCCCAGGCACACACTAATGTCTTTCTTGTTTGTTGCTGTGGGTTCCCCTAGGCCCCAACACTCCACTGATTATATTGACCACTACTGCTTGTCTAATGTAATTACCGATTACACTCAATTAATGGCTGCAGTCGTAATATACTTCAGGGTCCACCAAATTCATGACCATAGATACATCAATGCATCTTCACACTTGTTGGATCTGAAAAAGACTTGCACAAAAGGTATAATTCCCATATTCTACTTTTGGATCAGAACCCAGAGGAAGAATATGATTTTCAAGGGTAGATAGGGCTTCTTCACATGTAGGGTTGGTGATGGCAGTAAGAACTCTCAAATTCTCTTTGAGATTCCAGCAGCAAGGTAACTTTTTTGAGGGGAAGCAGCAAAAACACAGGGGAAGCTAGAGATTTAGACACTTGTTACAGAATGGGAACCCAAAAGTGAGTGAAGGGTGTTGTTTCTTTTACTATTGCAAGGGTGGGATAGTGTTGTCAGATTGTGGGTTGTCTGTGTGTCTCAGCTTAGCCCCGATCCGCAGGAGAATCCAATGAAGTAGACTCGTGCGGGTTGTGATGATTGTCATAGTAGAGAATCTCAAGAAATTTCTCTTTGTTTTTTCTTTTGTCTACTTTTTTATTCGCGACAAAATTGATGTGGCCACCTATGCATTTGCATTTATTATGGTTCCATTTTTAAACTTCAACTATTTCTTTTCATCATTTTTTTTTTCCTGTTGATAAATTGCAACGCCATCATGATGAAACTTGTGATCACAGATATATCAAATGGTAACAATTAATCACAAATATTCATAGAATTACAGCGAAGTCATTCCTTATGTATTGGAGCGTGAATTTAAGAGTCATTTCCAATATCCCCATCCTTACAATCCCATCCTTAATTATTGCTTTTATTTTTGCCCTTGTTATAGTGGCTTTGGAACTGTGACTTTGAAGGGAAGAATTTTAGCTGAAATCTAGATCAAATTATTATAGATAGCTCACGCTATCTTTCTACCAGGCTGATATTTACATATGGTTGTTTTTTTTTAAAAAAAATAAAGATTATGCCATTGCTTTTTTATTTTATTTTTAGATATCAGTAAGATCTTTTCTCTGTCGTGATATTAAGTAAACAGTACTGTTGAGATCTTTTATGTTGATGATATGTCGGTTTCAAAGTCATGGCCAAAATTAACCTTTTGTTCCAAAGTATATGTGTGTGTGCGCTCTTTCAGTTTTTTCACCAGTGCATATGCTCCATGGATAATCTTGGAGAAGGTACGTACGTGCGAGGGGTATCACTTGCCTTAAATCCATGATATGATGGGAGTATTAATAAAAAAAGATGCTAGTGGGTAGAGCTGTGGCATTGAACATAAGCAGATGTCGGAGCTTTTGGGGATAAATAATACAGAAGGAATATGTGAAAGGACGGTTCGCATTCATTCAATTAGAACCCCATCTTCTGTAAATGATAAGGTCCCTTTCCCTCAGAGAAACCTTTTTTCCAAATTAACGCGTTCCCTTCTTTGTTTGGCATGATGATACCTCCATGTTCATTCATATTCGATTTGGAATTGATCATGGGCATGCATGTTACCATGTGCACCAGTTATTTATATGAATGTCACTACAAAAAACAGGGGCTATTAGCATCTGAATTTAGCAACGGATAATTCCGTTGCTAAATTCAGTAACAGATTTGCAACGGATTATATATATATTATTTTTTAAATATTAGCAATGGATTTTAGTAACGGACAATCCGTTGCAAAATTTACATTGAATTTAGCAACGGATTTTCCGTTGCTAATTGAAAAAATAAAATTTAAATATTAATATAAAGCTGAAATTATGTTGACCGTTGATTGCATAAAATCTAAACCGTTTATTTTCGCTCTTTCCCCCCACACCGAAATACAGACACCAACAAAATCATTTACAGCTGAAAATTACATCACTTTCACTCTTCCAGTGCATCCGTCATCCCTAATAACAATATCAATCCCTAACTGTTGAAAAATCACCCTCTCTTCATCGATTTCATATTCCTTTATCCGAAACTGTTTATCATTTTCTCATTCATCTTCAGCATCCGTAATTTCTTTTCTTCATCTTCTTCTCCTTCATCGATCTTACCAGTTTCAATATTTCTATATAAAGCAAGAAAAACAGAGACCCATGGTAACATCACACCAGACCCATCATCATCAGTATCGAACATCCTGATTTACCCTTTCTCTGTAAACGGGTTAGGTTTTGCACTTTTTTCTTCAATAGCTCAGGTAACTAATTTAGGGTTTTTATTTTTTTTGTTGCAATTGAAGTTACACTAAACAGTTCTAACCTAAATTTTCTAATCTCAGGTGTTATTTTTTCGTGTTGATCCATCTCTCTCATCTGTAACTGAAGAACGTACAGGTAACAATTGTTTTTCCTGATACTTTGAATAATAGTTTTAGGCTATTAATTCAATAATATAAGGTTTATAAAATGTTTTTACCATGATTTATAATCTAATTATGCATGTTTAATTGAAAATTTATGAAAACCCCCAAATTAATTTTTAGGGTTACGGTTCATAAATTGAATGATTTTATGCAAATTGACCAATGCTGGCAATTCTTGTGTCTGGAAGAGAGTGATTTATGGAAATTATGCCTGTTTAATTGAAAATTTAGCAAAACCCCCAATTTAATTTTTAACAATTAGTTTTTTGATGCTGGGTGTTCTTTGATGGGTGTTCTTTGATGTCTGCAAGTCTTTTTGTCCTCCTGTGCGCCAACACCTAGGTGATTTGAATGTATTCATATACTTATATATATAAAAAGAAACTTGGTTGTTGATGTTGTGTTTTGTTAATAAGATTGTTGTTTTATTTTTGTATCTTCATTCATTATTTTTAAGCAAGCTAAACATGCTCTCTTTATTTGTGGGGTAATCGTGTGGATGGCTTGTCCTGGATAATGACAGTGGAATGTCAGCACCACATACTAGTTGAACATGCCATAACAGTAGCAATTGCTTGGAGATATTTCAATTGGAACTCTCTCTATTCTCTGTATACATTGTCTCGGGTTTCCAAGTTCTTAGTAGTTGGGCGGCTTAATGTTTATGGTGGTTATGCTTGGAATAGAAGAAAAAAATTGCTCTCAACAAAGTATATTCTAAAAGACTATCTTAAAAGATAATTGTATATGATAACATAGATATATTCCACTTTTCATAACTGAAAGATAGCCAAAAAAAACCTTGTAATATCAAATATGTATGTCAATTCTTGGATTTCATTGATGTCAGATATTTATGAAATTAATACTTGCTTTAGGAACTTGATTCTAGTTCCATTGCTTTATTTATCAAAGCCCTTTTCCTTTTCCTGAATAATAAAGTTCTCAAGTGATTTATTTTGACTGCTAGTAGACATAAATATATGTATATGTGTGTGTGGAGAGCATGAAACATGCTTAATCATTTCAATCAACTAAAGGTTAGTTGAAACTGAAAATCAACTAAAGCTAATTTGATCCCTGTAGTACCATAAAGCAGTATGCTTTCAATGTTTAATTATCCATAAAGACATAGTTTATAAAGGACAAATCCAAATCAGTATAACCTTGTGTTTATTCTTGAGTATGCTTAATAAGGTTAATCTTAAAAGAGAAGTATTCTCAATAAGGTATATGAATTATTTCGGGAACATTTTAGCAACACATCATCTCTTCCTTTGTTGAGATGACTAAAGCTCACAACTGTTATAGTACCTAATGTTTGCTTTGTTATTTGGCTTTTTTTTTAATTTCTGGGTCCTGACATGACTTTGTTCAATATGATGAATTAGGTTTTTAAGCGTGGCAGCAAGTTATCTTCCTCAATAATTAATCATCCTTTGGGTTCTTCTTTGCGCGAAAACGGTGTGTTGCGTTCTTATTACTATTTACTATGGTCTCCTTAATGCTTTGTTCTTTTGAGGTCTTGTGCTGTTATACTACATGTCATTTACATGGAATATCATTTAATGCATCCAGCTTTCGTTGTGCTATGCTTTTTGTACCTTGTTGTTTTGCTCTTTGAACTAAAAGCATGTCATTAGAATTTCCTTTTATGCAAAGGCTTGGTTTTGTAGAAAAATTATGTCCTGCCCGTAAAAATTCTTATTAAGTTATAGGTTTTAAGAGATAATAATTACAGTAAATTATAATTAATTTTTTTGAAAACTATAAGTTAGTTCCTTGTTATTAAATTAAATGAAATTTATCAGGTTGGATCTTAAATGAAAAAAAATATTTGTTATGAGAAGACAAGTATCAAAAAAATAATTGATATTTAATTATTATTTCACTATGATATAAAACATAGATACATTGTATATAATTAAAGAGACAAAGATACAAATGTTGGAATAAAAATAAAAAGATCTGAATATATGATTATGATTTCATTTACCATTTCTTAGTTTACCAAAAAAAGATTTGAATAAAAATAAAAAAAGTTTGATGGATCTAATAAAAATAAAAGGCTAAAAAAAAATAAAAAACTCATTTGAGGTTGTAACAAAAGTTAGAAGGATCAATAAAAAAAAATTAAATCCAAAACTACTGTAAAGATAAATTTATTTAATATTTGTTCAACTAAATATTTTTTTTCTTTATCTATTTATTCTGTATAGAATACTAATCAAACATAATCTAAAAGTGTACTTTTGTCAATAATTGGCTTATATAAATATAAATGAAAATTATTAAGATTTATTTAAAGCATTTAACAAAAACTCAATAACAAAGACTAGAAGGAAAATAATTATCCAGGTTTTAACAAACACATGTGCATATATCCCATCATTAACATTTTTTGGCTTGATATATGTTTGAACTGGACAAATAATTATAGTTTATTCATGTTGTACATATTTTATTTTAAAGGATTGTTTAAATAGTAGTAGTTAAAGAAGTATGCTTATTTCTAAAAATACTTATTGGTGTTGTCCTGTTAATTAGATTAACATGGATGATCGATCATGGATGTATCGTCGTCTTATGGATGGTCGCCTTCGTCCTGAATACATTACCGGTGTTAGAAGATTTATCAATTTTGCATTTTCAATTGATAAAAATATATCTGGGGGAAAAATTAGATGTCCTTGTGTGAGGTGCAAAAATCAAAAGTTTTTAAAGGAAGATGATGTTTGTAAACATCTATTGACAAAAGGTTTTATACCTTGTTATGAAAATTGGACAGTACATGGGGAGCCTTATGTTACGGAACCAATATTGGCTGGACCTTCATCAATTGGAATGAGTCATGTTATGAATGATGTTTGTCTAGAGAATCCATATAGAAATCTAGTTATAGATGCAATGGGGGTTGGTGATGCATTCTATAATGATAACGTGTCTAGTCCTATGGTAGCAGGGGAAATTCCAAATCCGGAGGCAACTAAATTTTTTAATCTTTTGAAAGTTGCGGAGGAGCCGTTGTGGGATGGGTGTACCAAGCAATCCAAATTATCTGCTTGTGTACAATTGCTTAATATGAAGTCAACATTTAATTTGACTCAGAATGCCTTCAACAATTTTATTGATTTTACAAAAAGTTGCATGCCTAATGATGAAAATTTGGTATCAAATTTTTATGATGCCAAGAAATTTATGCGACCACTTGGACTTGGGTATGAGAAATTTGATGTGTGTCCTAATTATTGTATGTTGTACTATGGGGCTGATGCAATGAAAACAAATTGTGATTTTTGTGGAAGTTCACGATACAAACCTAGAAATCCAACCAGTAAAGGTTCCAATAAGGCAGAGAAGCAACTTCGATACTTTCCCTTAACACCAAGGCTTCAAAGACTGTTCATGTCTCCATATCACGCCAAAGATATGACATGGCATCATTATCACAAGTCAGATAATGGGGTTATGGTGCACCCATCTGATGGGGAGGCATGGAAGGAGTTTAATCGTGTTCACTTCAGCTTTGCATCAGATCCGAGAAATATTCGATTAGGGTTGTGCATTGATGGGTTTTGTCCATTTGACATGTCTTCAAATACATACTCTTGTTGGCCAGTAATTGTGACTGTTTATAATTTGCCTCCGTGGAAGTGCATGACTAGACCATTCATGTTTTTGACAATGCTGATTCCTGGGCCAAAGAATCCGGGTAAAAAGCTTGATGTTTTTCTAAGACCTTTGATTGATGAGTTAAAGAATTTATGGTCTGTTGGTGTTGAAACATATGATGTCTACAGAAAAGAAAATTTTCAATTAAGGGCAGCTTTGATGTGGACCATTAGTGACTTTCCAGCATATGGCATGTTATCGGGGTGGAGTACTCATGGAAATCTGTCTTGTCCTTATTGTATGGAGCATAGCAAGGCTTTTAGATTAAAAAATGGACGGAAAACTACATTTTTTGATTGTCATCGACGATTCCTACCCATGAACCACCCATATAGACATCAATCAGATAAGTTTTTGAAAGGAGTAATTGAAAGGCTCCCTCCTATACCTCGTCCATCTGGTTTGGAAATGTTAAATGAAGTGTCCAAGTATACTGAGGGATATATTGGAGGTTCATCATATAATGTTAAAATTCCAGGATTTGGTGTTAAACACAATTGGGTGAAGAAGAGTATTTTCTGGGAGCTTCCATATTGGCATATAAATTTGATTCGTCATAATCTTGATGTCATGCATATTGAGAAAAATGTCTTTGACAATATTTTTTATACAGTAATGGATTGTCCTTATAGAAGCAAGGACAATTTAAAGGCTAGGTTGGATATTCAATTGTATTGTCATAAGCCAAATTTACATTTGCAACAAGATATGAGTGGTCGGGTTTACAAACCTAAAAGCACTTATTGTCTACACAAGAAACAACAACAAGAAGTGTTGTCATGGATGAAGGAGTTATCATTTCCTGATGGTTATGCTTCAAGCATTTCACGATGTGTGAAAGAGGCACAATGTAAGGTTTCGGGGATGAAGAGCCATGATTGTCATGTCTTCATTCAAATACTTAGGGAGTAAGTGCAAGTTATTCATGTTTAAGTGTAATTGGTATGATACAAGACGAGGAATTAGAGTGCATCCTTCGAATGGTTTGGTTGAAATCAAGCATACATCTCGACTACAAGGAAATGAAGATTTTGTGCTAGCACAACAATGTCAACAAGTCTACTATACATATCCACCTGGTAATAAATCATCTGAATGGTGGACGGTTATTAAGACAATTGCTAGAAGTCGTTATAATGTTGACATGGGTGAATTTATTAAAGATGCCAACAATGTAACATCATTTGATGTTGATCAATCAGATGAGATTTCTCAACCATGTTATGTCCTTCCTACTCAAACACTTGATGATCCAAATATACTTGTTGAATCATCTTATTATGAAGAAATCGGGCAACATGAATTGCTTCAACTTGACATAAATTGGGGAAACAAAGATGATGAAGAAGAAGATGATGATGGTGACGGTGATGGTGACGATGATGGTGATGGTGATGATGATGGTGATGGTGATGGTGACGGTGACGATGACGGTGAAGAAGAACATGATGATGATGAGGATGAGGATGATTGTTATGGTGGTGATGGCTAGGAGTGATGATAATAATGAGTAGCGCAATTTAATTATATTTTGTAGTACATGTAATGAATTATCTTTAATATATGTATGGATAATTTCATATTATTTGACAATATTTACTTTTTCAATGTTTTTTATTTATTATTTTATCATAGTGTGTTATGTATCACATTGCATATATCATTTTCATTGACCTTTGAAAAAATTTCTAACCTTTCAAGTATCAATATTTAAATTGTGATTCTGATGATATATTTTATTTTGTGATTTGTTTTCTTGCTTATAGATGTTGAAGAATGAATGAAAAGGTTTTTCCTACTCAGTGTTTGATTTATAAGAACAAACATTAAGGTAAGTATACTCATAAATTTTGATTTCTGCTTAATTAATTATTTAGATTTTTATTTTTATTATTGTTTGTGTTAATTGGCTTTTGATAATTTAAACTTCATGGCTGATTTTTATCATTGCAAGGAATGCTTAATGAAAATATTGTGAATCTTTTGTTCCTCGTAGTTTAATTATAAGCTAATTTATTGTTATGTGTATATATTCATATCATAATGTATATATTTTTTCTGGTTTTTAGCATGCCTCGACGAGGATCTATATTAGATTCTAGGAGTGACAGGTCCACATCAAGGAGTGACAGGTCCACTTCATCCAAATCATTTCAAACTACATCAAGGCATAATAACAAAGGATCCACATTTCATCAACCTGTGTATCAGAATGCAAATGAGTATTATATACCTACTTTGGGGAGTACACATCCTCCTCAACGTGATTATGGGAGGGTTGATGCATATCAATATTGTGAGGGCTTTCGTTTCCAAGATTTGCTTCAAACTCAAGGAGGTTTCCCTCGAGATAACCAATTTGTTTATGGAGGACATAATTTGTATAGGAGTTATGAGAGAGTTAATGGTGATGATGATGATGTGAACGTTAGAGATGAAGACGAGGGAGACGATAGTAATGAGAGAGGTGTATGTGATGAGGATCAAGATGGTGTTCCATCATATCATGGTTCAACATGTTCTCCACACAATTATGATCAAAGTGTTAAAAGGAAGGGTTTTGACACGCCAATAGATCCAATAACAAGAAAAAAAGAGCTTTGTTTGTATGGAACAACAGAGTAAGTTCAAACTTTTGAAAACAAACTTATTAAAGTTATATTTTCAGGTATGAAAAAAATTACTTTTTATTGTGTAATTATTTGTTTAATATAAGTTTGTTATTATATATTTTCAGGTTCAATAACGCATCGTGTGGGCGTGCAATCGGAGATATTTTGAGGTCCAATTTTAAGGGAGCATGGCACTCTTGGGAAAAAGTAGATTCAATGTGCAGGGATGAACTGTTTAAAGAGTTTAAGGTAAGAACCAACACTAATTGCCATAATATTCTTTTTAATTTTGATAACTTTAATGTAGGATTATGAAAATTATCAATTAGCTATGATTGATTTGTGTTATAATTTGTACTTATTTCATGTTTACTTTTTAATATCATTTAATTTCTATAGTTATTACATCATCTTGCAAATTTTGAACAAGATAACACAATATGTTAATTATTTATATAATTTGAAATTTTGTGCACTTTTTTTACTTCGTATATATATTATTTGGTAGAAAAAATATTCTTTTCCTGAGGAAGATGAGTCGATTGTTCGTAATATTTGGGAAGATAAGGCAAGGATAGCTTTGAATCAACAATTAACACGAGCTCGCAAGAAAGCCATGTCAAAAGAAAACACTACAAATATTGTAGATTGCCTTGATAAAGGTCCTGCCTGGATAAATAATGATGACTGGAATCAAATGATCAAAGATGTTTGGTCCACCCCTGAATTTCAAAGGAGGTCTGAATCTGCTAGGAGGAATCGATTAACCAAAACAGATGGCAAAATAAGCACTCATTCTGGAGGAACAGTGTCATTTGCATCATATCGAGCTAACATGGTAAGAATTTTTTTTTTAATGCTTAAGATAAGAAATTATAATTTGTATTTTTATCTTTTATAATATTTATTAATCTTGAAAGCAAGAGGAAGCTGGTGGAAAAGAACCTCCATGGGATGATGTCTTTTCAGCTTTGCATCAAAGTACTAAGCAGTCTGGTGGCTTCGTCGACAACAAGTCGAAAAAAGTGGTTGTATGTATTTTTATTTGATTATTTCTTAATATAACTTAATTATCATTTAACATTCAAATGAATTTATTGTTGCATGTATTTTTTTTATAGGAAAATTATAAAATGGAGATGATTTCAAAGTATGGAAGTAATCGGGAAAATCATCCTTCATTTGATGGAGCAGCTTGGTGTGTGGCTTCAGGAGGAGTTACAAAGGGTAGGGTATATGGTGCACCTCGTATGCCAAAATCTATAGTTAGTCCAAGCTCTTCATCACATTCCTACTCAGTGGAGTCATCATATCCCAGTTCATCGTATCGAGCATTGCAAAAGGAGATAAAGGATAAAGAAGAGGAGATAAAGAAAAAAGATGAATTTATTCTTGAAATGAAACGACAGATGGATTCCATGAAAGAATATCTTGTGAACAATCTTGGATACAATGATGGGACATCAAATATTGATCAAGGTATGCCACCATCTTTGACTCCAGCAATATCGCCACCTATGGCTCCTCAGATAATGACATTTATGGGACCCACATCTCAACCAATTTTTCGACCTACACCTCGACCTTTATATCCTGATCAATCTTGTATCGATCCACAATATCATGGTTCGTCTTCGCAACCGGCACCATGATTGTATCTTTTGTTGTTTTTTTTATTGTATTTGAACTTAATTGTATTGATGTAAGTTTAACTAAATTTTTATTATATGAATATTAGTTTTATTCTATTTTTTATTAATGATACAATTATTTTTAATATTAAATTGTGTTGGTTATATATATTTTAAATTTTTTAAAATATCCATAAATAATTAAATTAATTAATTAAAATTAAAAATCATTGCAATAAACAAATAAAAAATAATTTAATAAAAAATAATATAATCACCAACGGATTCTCCGTTGGTGATTGTAACTAATGCATCATTCAGCAACGGAGAATCCGTTGCTGATTCACAAAATAAGCAACGGATTATCCGTTGCTCATTTTGCAACGGATTATCCGTTGCTAATTATAAGCAACGGATTTTCCGTTGCAAAGAAATCAGCAACGGATAAATCCGTTGCTAACAAATCAGCAACGACAAATTTGCATCCGAATTTTGTCGTTGCTGATTTCGTTGCTAAATTGTTTTAGCAACGGATTTTAGTAATATTTGCAACGGAGTAGTCCGTTGCTAATTACTATATTTTTTAGTAGTGTGTCACCACAAGGTGGCTAGCAAGTATACATTGTAGCAAGTACATGATCTCTTTTTCCATGGACAATATCAAGCAAGTTTCATGGCTGGACTGCCCCTCACATTTCAAATGTCAGCGAAGCTTGTTTCCCAGTAATATTTGTACACAGTTAATGTGATCACTCATATATATGTGATGGATTAGAAGAGCAGCGGGATTCATTGTTTTTTGGACTACCGCTGAGACAAGCAGGCAAGGGATGGGTCAAGGATCCAAAAAAGGTCCCATCAACTGTTAATAATTTCTTTTGCCCATACTCTAGCTCAATTCTTTCCCTAATCTTCCTCTTGTTTTTCAGAAAGTGCTCCAATTTTTCCTTTCCATGATTGACCAGCACCTCGATCATTTGATGAGCACAATTATTGGGGAGAAATCACATATTAATTTACCTGGAGGGGGGAAAGGAAGTATCATAACTCTTAACAATCAATAACTACTCAACACCCTACAATATTTAACTACCCAGAGCACCCCAGCGATCGACCTGGAGAACTGTCATCAAACAAAAATAAGCGGTGAGTCTTTACATGCAGAACAGAGGCGTGGACGACAAGACAAGGACACAGCTTCAAGAACACAGTAACGTAGAAGGGAGAAGTGTGTGTAGAAGAAAGGGGTATTTTCCAAATCTTTTTCTTCTAATTTTAGATATTTTCAAAAATATTAGGGCACATAAGAAATAAATGCATACGTGTGTGGGGGGAGATCGAGAGCATGGAAACATTGGAATGAGGAGTGACAAAATAGATTTGATTGAATCGTCCCTTTAAGCAGCCACTGTTAAAAGAGAGTAATTGACGTCCATGTCTCCCCTAAAGTAGGTCCAGTGATCGATGTTTTTATTAGAAAACAGGATTTTCACTGCTTTTACTTTTGATTAGTACCAAGGTTTATAACCTGTTCGCAGTGCTATGTTAATGTGTTCTTTCTAGAATCCGAGGTTGCCCCTTCCCTCTTCCACAAATAACAGAAAAGGATAATAATCTTCTTTAGCTTTTAGGTCAAACTAGCTAGTACCTCCTCAATTTTCTAGCTCCTTCCATTCCTCAACGTCAAATGTTCATGCGACTAAAGCCCCCTGTAACCAAATGTATCCTATTTTTTATTAAAACATATTTAAAATTATTTTTTTCTCATTTTAACATGTTAATATTAAAAATAAAATAATAGTACTTTAATTTATTTTTAAGTAAAAAAATTTAAAAAAAATAATTTCTATCATGCTATCAAATACCTTTAAATATCTAATAGCATATTATTGTCTAAACTATCCAAATTAAACTTATATATTATGATTAATTTATTTGTTAAGGTTTTGATCAGATGGTTTACTGAGATATGCTCTCTTTTTTTTTTTAATTTCTTGAGTTCAAATTCTATAATTTATTCCTTTGAATATACCAAAATAATAAAGAAGATACATTATTAAGATTGTTCAGAGAGAAATTTTCATTTTTTTTTTTTAGATTAACATGGATGTCCGGACCAGTTTGGGCATACCACGACTAATCCCACGGGTCCTGAAATTAACGACCATGTAAACCTCCAGTGGCCATCATATGAGCAACCAAGGACTCGAACTTGAGACTACAGAGAAAACAAACTCCTTAATCCCAAA